AGTGTAAATTGGGAGGGGGGTGATTGGCAGGAAGACATTCCAAGGCTCTTTCGGATCACTGGTAGGGAGAGCCTGGCTGTTACCAATAAATACAGAGGTTATAATTTCTAAAATAACAACAATCATAACAAAAATAAAGTGTATGATTCCCATACCGTTAGGGGAAAAAAAAGAATGGGAATCGGAATTCACGGTCAAGGCTATTCTAAGACTCAAAGGAAGACATAGGATCTGGATAATATGGAAGTGACTTATAGCGAAAAGGCCTTTTGTGTAGTCTGTCTTTGCTTCCTGGCTGGAAGCATGTCTACTGCTGTTGAAGGCACAGATCTCCACATTAGGTAACTACGCCCAGACTGAGCAATTTCAGCTGTTAATGTAGTCAGACTTGGGGAGGGCTATAGGGATGGGCAGATCCACTTAAGAGGAAAATGCAAAGTTTGTAAAAAAAAAAATACTCATTTTTAAAGATATAGGTATCAGCAAAAAAAAGAGAGAGAGAGAGGGGGAGGGAGGGAGAGGGAGAGAGAGAAAAGGGCTAATGATGAAGTAATCCATTTTGTGTATCTTCTTATTCAGGACAAGTGTCCTGTTCCCTAAGGCTTATTCCACAGGGTGCTATTTAGTGATACCAAGTTTTGATTGTGGATGAATTCGGTGGAGTGTTCTTTCTGGATCCTAGCAGCTGTCCCTAGAGGAACTGCCCTGAGGGTCTGGGCAATTAAGAAAAAGCTCTTGATCATCACGTCATCACCCAAGCGATCAAGCTGCCTGGCTTCCATGTAAGGCAATGTAGCAATTAGGCACACATTTGTATTTATTTATATTTTAGTGCATAGTCTTTATTTAATTTGTATATTATTAAAGCATTAGGGCTGGATTTCAATGTGCCTAGATAGTTTGATTTGCTTTTTATTAATGTCAGCATAGGAGTTCTGCACACAACCCTACAGAACCCCCTGGGCCTACTCATGAGGGCAAGGGTGAAATCCAACGGGATTTCCCCATTGCCAGATTTAACCAGAAACCAAATTCTCAGATCTCCCCCAAAGTCTGCAACAGCTGAGTAAAGCCCCATGTGGAGACTGTGGGTCTAGGTGCTACTCCCTACTTCCCTCCTCCACCTCCGCCAATCTCTGCAATGCTTGCAAATGAGATTGGGTCACTTGTTCCTTTAGCTGAGGCCCTCTAGAAACAGAAAGGCAATCTGTGCCTGCTTGCTTGCTTTGCTGAGTCCTTGTCTGATCAAGTCTGAGCAGATGAGAGTAAAGAAGCAGAAAGGACAGCTCTTCTCTCTTCCACCTGGAGCGGAGGTGAACCCAAGTCCTAACTTCCTTGCCCTGAGTACTGCCCCAATGCTCCTAGGGGTTTTCAAAGGGTGGGATGGGGTTCTCCAAGTAGGGGTTGCCTTCAGGGCAGACACTAACACGGACGTTGCATGGAAAAGAAACAAGCATGAAAGAACACAAGAGTATTCCTTAGACCTGGACAATCATCCGTTCTGATTCTACCTTTCCTCTTTCGCTGCTCACAACTATGTCCACATTGCCAAGTTGAGGGCTCCTGTTTTTGCCCAGTCTGATCTCTCATAGTGTGGGATACAGGAGACTCTTCCCTCTACACAGTGGCTCACCTGGGCCTCCTCCACAACAATGTTCTTTTCCCAGAGGTCACCACGGTTCATCTTCATGGCGTTCATCCTCTCCATGTGCTGTCTGCAGCTCAGATCTCTGGTGAGGTTCAGATCTTCCTGTGTAGCTACCTGCCTGACTTTGCTGTTACAGATGCCTCTGTAGGCAGGTCGCAGGCATCTTTAAGTCACCAGATTTGGAACTGAGCACATCATACGGTCACACCTGTCCACGATGTCTCCGCCTCAGGGAATGGCACCACCATCCTCCTAACTGCTCAAGACAAAAACCAGCATTGGCCTTGCTATCCTCCCCAATTTCACCATCCCTGTATCCATTCTTGAGTTAATCTTGCCCATTTTGCCTCCAAAATCTAGAGCGGATCTGTTTGCCTTCCAGCTCCACTGCCAACACTGGTGGCCACATTCACCTCTCGACTAAACCATACAATACCCCCAAACTTGTCTTCCTGCTTCCATTCCTAACTTTCTCCAAACAGCAGCAAAATAAATTGAAAAAGATTATCCCTCGCCTAAGCCTCTTAAGTGGCTCTCCATTTCACCTGGAATAAAGCTGAACTCACACCTTTGGCCCAACAGGGCTGATACACCTAGCTGATCAGGTTCAATGCTGCAGACTCAAGTCAAACCTCTCTCCCCCTGGCACATTATTCCAGCTGTTCTGGGATCCCCCCTGTTCCTGCAGTTCTTGAGGCTCTTCCCTACACCAGGGCCTTTGCACATGCTGCTTCCCTTGCCTGGAATGTCTCCATCTGCTCTTCCTTGGCTCTTTCTTGTCCTCTAGGACCCAGCTCATAGATGACCTTCTCAGAATAGCTTTCCCTGATTGCCCTCTACAGGGTCCGTCCCTCTGCTTGTATTCTGATGTGCAAATTCCTGTTTGTCTTCATGGCACATACCATGACTGGTATCTGTGTATCTTCTTACTTGTTTATAGAAAATCCCATCTATTAGACTGTAGGGTCTGCAAAGTGGGGGGATATATTTGTTTATCTATCAGTGTTTAGCACCGCACCCAGTGCCTCACACCAACACGTATGGCATATGGCTGACACCTAGAGAATCATTGAGGGATTGATTCCCCTCTACTCTAGTAGCTTCTCCATGACCTTGATTGACACCAGAGTTTCTCCTCCTTTGGAACAGAGTTAGATGTGCTGGGGCCCAGAGGAAACACAAGCAGAGGGAAAGTCATGTATCAGCTCCCAGGGTCTGGTTGACACTACGTGCTTTGAAACTTTGAGATGTCCTTTCCTACAGGAAGTTATAAGTGAAGAAGCTTCTAGAGTTAGCTGTGACCTTGAAATACTTATAAGCCTTGCTTGTTACCTTGGAGACAGGGTGACACATTGCTAACTGTTTCAGTTCAAAGAGATGCATAGAGTGTATTTTGCTGAACATCTGTTTTGTTGAAGGAGAAACAAAGTGTGTAGGGGTGTGGGCTGTGTGGCTCAAAGATAAATGCCATCCGGTAGAACTTTCCATGGCTTACACGTTGCTCTGTTACCTCCACTGTGAGGTGTCCACTGGAGAACTGTTCGTTTATGTGGCCAAAGAGAGTTCAAAAAGCCTTAGAGTCAGGAAAGATGGGTGGCAGAGACTCAGGTGAAGATGAAGAATAATGAAGTAATCGTGGAGGTAACTGATTGGAAGAGAGATGGTTGAGGAAAAGAGGAGAAACAGCTGAATAGGAAACAACCTCCAGCCATCTCTGTGAAAGGCCCATTTCCCTCCTCTCTGTTATTGCCGGGCTAGCGTTGGTCCTGGGAGAGATGCTTGCAATACCTAACCAAGGGCTTCCATTGCTGGCCAGCTGGGCTGGTTGTGAGGCTCACCAGTGGTGTGTGTGAAAACGGTGTGGAACTACGCAAATAGAAGTTCTTTGCTGCTTGCCATGGGACCTACCATGTTAACAGTTCAACAGTAATCAAGGATCCTTTTATTTTGAGGGCAGAATTAAAAAAAAAAAAGAAATAATGAGCCTGAACATGGCAGGGGAATTTTCAACATTTCACTTCCCCAAATAGGAGCAGATTTTACCAGTGAAAATTCAGATTTGCAAGCTAAAACATGCATACATACACACACACGCACGCACACGGACACAAAACAGAACAAAAAAAAACCCTTGTGCTTTTGTTTTTCTTCCCTTTGAGTTTTGAAACAAAAAAGTACACGACCGTTTCAGAGGGGTGTCCCAGAGAGGTGAGTCTGGGGTATCTCCTAATAGAAAATGGCCAGGGAAAAAAAGCTCATGTATTTTGGTGCCTCTCTCTAAACACATGTAGGAACTCCTGAAAGCCACATTTCATTGTTCTGTGGTGAGAAGGAATTTTGTGACCTTTGGAGAAATTCTGTTCTTGTTTTTCATGAAAAGACCAGGAGAAGGACATGAACCAAATTTCCTAGCAGTAGTGAGATGGTCTCAGAGCCCCAGGCTTGCGTTCTCAGGAGCACAGAGGGTTTGGAGCAAGCGGACATGTCCCCAGCTTGTCCTGTGTGTAAGTTCCCAAACTGTACACTTTTACAAGCTTGCTAAGATGTTCGCTCACCTCTGGTGTGGCTGGCCTGGCAGTGGCATCCATGGAGACAGCTGCGTGCCAAACTTCTCCCCCTTAGCTCCCAGGTCAGCCTGAAAGTGATGCGGGGTCTGCCCTCTTCTTGTCTCTCTTGAAATATTCTCTTTTCCTCTTGCTTCCAGACTTTCTGGCCACTCCTGCCAATTACCTTTGCAAATCGCTCTTCTTTTGCCCGCCATTTAAATCAGGGATTTTTCAATCGAGAATGATTTTGCTCCCCAGGGAATATTTGGCAATGATTGGATGCAGGGTTGTTTGTCACACTGGCAGCTGGGAGGGGATGTGCTACTGGCACCTGGTGGGTAGAAGCCAAGGACGCTGCTAACTGTCCTGTAATGTACTTGACCGTGCTCCAACACAAAGAACAGTCTATGCTAAAATGTCAACAGTGCAGAGTTTCTCGAAACCCTGACATCAGCTGTGGTTCCACAGTGTTACTCCCTGAACTTTTATTCTAGACCTCACTCCCTGTTGGGGTTCTCTCCTCTGCTTCCACTTTAAGAAGTTGTATCTACTCTCTGATGGTTCCCTAACCTCTGTTTCCAGCTGAGTTTCTTTTCTGAGTGCCAAATTCATCTATCTGGACTTCCTCAGTTTGATAGTCTAGGGAGAGCCCTGTTGGATTTTGAGATTCCCAACAAGGAAAAAAATACTCATAATTTAGAAAAAGCAGTCTGTGACAGTTATCTGCTTTTAATAAAACACAGATTTCTTACTTAACCTACTTTTAATAAAAAGGGATTGAAATGAACTTTGTTTTGAAATTACAGAACAATTCAGTGGAACACCCTCAGATAATCAGCTAAGGTTTGGAATGTCCCAGAAGCCACTGAAGAGAAGAAAGTTGAGCCTTTCAGGACAGAGAGAAAGATCTGGACCTTGTGCGTCTTGCAAAATGGAAGAAGCTTTTTGAGTTACACGAGGACTGGCTCTCTTTCATTCCGGGCTTCAAGGTTTCAACCCAGTGCTGGCTATTGTTGTCTGACACTTTCAGAGCCACCCCTACCTACTGCCTTAATGCCTGGTCCTGGGGTGACAATGTAGGGTTACAGTAATATAAGTGGAAATCTGTTCGTATTTCTTTGAGCTCCAAGTTCTTATAAATGCTTCAATCGCCTGGAAAGCTAAAACAGGCTGCTCCTTGTGAGATACTTGAACAAAAGCATTTCCCAGGATTACCACTGCTCTTGACTATAGGGCCCACTCTCAGGAAGCCCTTTGTCTTCTGACAACACACCCACAGGGAGTTCCTGTGTGCCCCCCACCACATTTGCACATACACACACACACACACACACACACACGCAGCCTGATCCTTAATCAAATATTTTTGTGCATTCAGGAAAATCACCAGTCAGGGCCAGCATTGTGGTGTAGGGGCTTAAGCTGGCATCACCTATGAGCAGCCTGTTGGTTCCATTTCCAGTTCAGCTCCCTGCTAGTGCACCTGGGAAAGCAGAGCAAGATGGCCCGAGTCCTTGGGCCCCTGCCACCCACGTGCGAGACCTGGATGGAGGCTCCAGGTTCCTGGCTTCAGCCTGGCCCCTGTTCCAGCCAGGGCAACCATGTGGGGACTGAACCAGCAGATGGAAGATTTCTCTCTGGCTCGCCCTCTCTCGGTAACTCTGTCTTCCAAATATATTTTTAGAAAAATAAATAAATAAAGGAAAATCACCAGTCAACAGTCGTCATTCTTGCAGGGCAGATAGTAGGTCCCTTCCTAACGCCCTGCTGTGTCTGGGAAAGCCAAAGGCGGGAAGGAGAGAGGGCAGACACGGCTCCTTCATGGAGTCAAGGCCCCGCAAGGGTTGCAGCTTTGCCTCGGAGCTTGTCTGTACGGGCGCATCTCAGAATCGCTGTGGTCTCCCAGGAAGAACAGCTGCCTGCACTTTCTGGCCCTCTATTGACACCGTGATGAGTTATCAGAGGAAGAGATGGCGCCCGAGACACAGGGCTTCAAAGCCCGATGGTTCCCCGCGCTTCTCAAACTTCTTCCTTACGGAAAAGAACAGTCTCCTTCCCCCAGCTGGGAGCAGCTTCCTAGAGGGCTGCCCATCTGTCTCTGTCTTTACGACAAGCTTCTGTGTGTGCCATGCGGAGCCAGGCAAGACACATGGAGGAGGGCTGGATTGCAGATTGATGAAGAGGAAGGAAAGGGTGGAGGGAAGATAAGAGTGAAGCTTGGGGCCCTTTCCACCTGGCCCAACCTCAGGACCGAGGCCACAGCCCCATGCGTCTCACAATGGACAAAGACAGTCTCTGCTGGCCGCGTCGCTTTAGCTTGTGACGGGGCTGCTGGCTCCTCTATGGCGGTGCCCTTTGTTGAGTTCACAGTTGAGTGCCATGGGACAGGTGGCAGGAGTCACACTTGCTCAAGGCTTCCTGCTAACACCCATCCCCCACCCCCATTTCCAAGATGTGGGATTCTTTCTGCAGTTGTGGGGAAGAACAGGGAGCAGTTCCCCAATCCTGCTACCCGGGATACAGCCTGGCATACGGCTGCACTGACTTTTTAGCTGGTCTGGATTCACTTCCCAGGCTTCCTCTTGTCTCCACTATGTTTCATATACTCATTAGTTAATGCCATTAATATTAAGTGGCTGGGGTAGGTGAAACCCTATTCTAGGCACCGGTGTGAAAACAGCGACAGCCCGAAGCTTTGAGTTGCTTCCGTCCCTGGAAGGCTTTGGTCCGCGTAAGGTGAATCCACTCGTGTGATGTCGAGATGGGAATGAGCGCAGGGGTTTCAGCTACTCCAAGGAGTGGGACTTGTTGTTTTTGAGCCCTGTCAAGTGAGAAGGCCTAAAGGGATTATGTGTGGGGGCAGGGGGGACAAGTGAGCGCTGATTCAGTGGTGAGAGGGGGGACCGTGGTCTGCAGGTGGGAGAGCAGAGGAATTAGGAGGTAAGAGTGGGGGAGCAGCTCATGGAACTAAGACAGGACAGGTGGCCAGGTCACCAGGGCTTCTGCAGGCCATGTTACAGACTCAATCATACTATGCAACCAAACAGTCCAATCATGTATCAACCAGAGCCTGGAAGTGGAGTCCTAAAAATTGATAGATTTGGCCGGCACCGTGGCTCAATAGGCTAATCCTCTGCCTGCGACGCCGGCACACCAGGTTCTAGTCCCAATCGGAGCGCCGGATTCTGTCCTGGTTGCCCCTCTTCCAGGCCAGCTCTCTGCTGTGGCCCGGGAGTGCAGTGCAGGATGGCCCAAGTCCTTGGGCCCTGCACCCGCATGGGAGACCAGGATAAGCACCTGGGTCCTGGCTTCAGAACAGCGTGGTGCGCCAGCCGCAGCGGCCATTGTGGGGAGGGGGGTGAACCAACAGAAAAAGGAAGACCTTTCTCTCTGTCTCTTTTCTTCCTTGGCCCGAAAGACCATTCATTTCTGGTTCCAGGTCAGTAAAAACTATTCACTTTCCCCTTAACGATCTATTATGAGCTTTTGCAATTGTAAAGCAGGGTTGAGAGAATTTTACAGAGAACACCTGTTTCCCCCAGCACTTAGATTCCTCTGTAAATAGTTAACTATTTTTGCTTTATCATAAATGTATCCATCCAACCACTCATTAACATATCTTGGTTTTGGAGCATTTGAGAGTAAATTGCAAACTTTATTACTCTTTGACCTAAATAAGACTGCTGGTTTTTAACTTCTGCTCGCAGGCTGGGCAACCTGTGGCAGCCCACCTAGGTAGACAGCTGAGATCAAAGAGCAGCCTGGCTCTTCCTGTGTGTGGCTTCTCTCTCCAGATCCCTCCTCCTCCCGAGGCATTGTAACATTGACTCTTTAATTACAGTGGAGCCTTGGCTGTGCACTTGAATTCCTAGAAAGTGGGAGAGGGAATTTACACATCCAATTCTCTTTAAAAACATTATTATTTAAGACTGAAAAGACTCCTACAGGTAGCACAGATGGAAAAGTTTAAAATAAATAAGTCCCCTCCAGATAGAAACTTTAAAGCCTGCTTGTGCATTTCCGGATTTCCTTCTTTCAGATTTGCTGAAAGCCCAGCTGTGCCCTTAGCAGTGTAAGGGACACAGCAAATATAGCTGGGCTCTGCTGTTGGGCACAAAATACTCCAGGAAACGCGTCAAAGATCATCATCACCGTCCCTACCTGTAGGAGTTAGAGGCAGAGACTGAGGGAAGCGCTAAAGAGCGAGGTAGTTGTTAGGTGGCCAATGGGAGGCTGGCAAGCCAGTGGTCACCTTATGTGGATTCACAAAGCAACCGTTACTGTGTGTCTGTAGTACGTGGAGTTTTCCAGCTAAAGGAACATGATCCAGCTGTGTAATGACAAGGCTTCGAGCAGTGGCATTGCTTCCACTTCCGTGGTGGTTGTGTTTATGTTTCAAGTCTTAATTGATGTTTTGACCTTGTGTTGGTCCCCGAGGAGATTTTGTGGGGTGTAGTTTTTTAAATAAAAAGAAAAGACAAATCTAATGTACCGTTAGCCAGAAATCCTCCCTAACAGACCCCCAGAATGAGAATTGTGCTAAAGCGCTAAAATCCTATGAAAAAAGATATCGATATGTTAGCACCAGAAACAAACCACAGGCGTTATCTTAGAGACCTGGGGGATGGGACCTTGGTGCGGGAAGAGAGAAAATCAGGGGTTCGATTTTTAGGACCCAGTATCAGGACTCTCACCAGTGTTGCTTGGACAGAGGAAAGAAGGGGACGTGGAGGCCGGTGTGAATTAGGCACGTAGGTAAGCTCCCGGTTAGGACAGAGCCCCTGAAGGAGAAAGCCAGGGGCCGACTGGTCAGAGGGGCTGGACTCGGCCTTCTTAACCGGGGTTAGCGCAAACTCAACAGACAGCCCAAGAGGGAGATGGGATGGAGGAAACCAGCAAGCAGAGATGGTATTTTTAAATGTTATCATCTGGCTTTTTTTAAATGTGTGGGCCCACTGAATTTCTTTCTTTTTTTTTTTTTTTTTATTTATTTGACAGATAGAGTTAGACAGTGAGAGACAGAGAGAAAGGTCTTCCTTCCGTTGGTTCACTCCCCAAATGGCTGCTACAGCTGGCACACTGCGCCGATCCAAAGCCAGGAGCCAGGTGCTTCCTCCTGGTCTCCCATGCAAGTGCAGGGACCCAAGCACTTGGGCCATCCTCCACTGCCCTCCCGGGCCACAGCAGAGAGCTGGACTGGAAGAGAAGCAACCAGGACTAGAACCCAGTGCCCATATGGGATGCTGGCACCGCAGGCGGAGGATTAACCAAGTGAGCCACGGCGCCAGCCCCCCCTGAATTTCTTACACTGGAGAAAACTGAGTCCTCTTGCCCCACCCCCACTCCCACCCCCACCCTGCCCCTGAGACAGAGTGCTATCAGCCCCGCCCTCCATGTCATCTTTGGAGGCTTCCTGACCGGGAGGAGCTGTCTGCTGCACGGGCTATCCCTTCAACAACTCTTTCTCAAGAGCCAGGCAGAGTGCGTCCGCTTGTAAGTGTGAGCTCACATGCAGAGAAATCGTTTATAACAGCTATTTATCTGCTTTGAAAGAAGTGCTTAAATCATTGTTATTTTCCATGTTCCACTCTTGGCAACTTGTGAGAATTTTCTATGGACGGCTACGTTTGCATACTTATCTACAGGGCTGTTTTCCAACCAGAGAATCTAAAGTGCAATTATTCTACTCATGCTTAAATCAATGTTTCCTGCTTATAGTCTGTCTTGCAGATGTTCAGATAGAAGCCAGCACCATAGGGAGACCAGGAGGGCAAGGTATCCCTGAGTAGAAAAGAGCAGCGCTCTCCTGATAACCAGTGCATTTGGGAGAGAGCTATTGGAAGGAAACTCTAATCAAATGATGACTTAATTGACAAGGAGAGATAGCTTCCCGCCGTCCCCTCTGTTTATACATGCTATTGTTTCAGATCAAGATGTTTTGTTTACTGTGGAAGGAAATATTTTCCCCCCTCTGAGATAATTAATTTTTGTCAGCTTCACTGTGTATAAGGGAAACTGAGAAACTGTTAATTGAAATACAAAATGAGTCACTGTTTTCAGTAATTTTTGGCAGCATTCTAATTTGTGTCAATCCCAGCCTAATTATTAGAATTTTTGGAAGCAGAAAGCATATTTGATTTTTTTTCCCTCTTCTTGAATTTTTTTTTCCTTCCTTCCTTTTGGTGGTTGTTTTTGAAATATATGCTGTCTGACATGGGTTATGTAAGTTCTGTCAGTGTGGAGTGAAGCCCCAGTACCTTTGAAATACTAAGAGGTTTATTGCATCATGCTTGCCTGTTACAGGAGTTCAATATTTAGAAAGCTCCCAGAATGCAGCCTTCGCCTATTCCTCCCATCCACCCCCAGCCCCAACCAGAAAATGGAATTTTTTTAAAGACCTCTTAGCTAGTGTGAAGCCACAGTATATGGCCCATCACTAATGACATCATTGAAGTAAATTTCCCAGAAGCCATCCGGGAGAATTCATTTGGAAATCCAATTGAATGTCCCTGGCAGAGGGCAGCCTCCTCGGAGAAGTGGCCAGCCATGCATCCCCGAGTTGTTTGTTGTGAAAGCGCTCATCACCGTGAACTCATTTACTCCTAATGCGAACCCGCCGTCTGATTCCACAGGAATTCTCTTCCGAACGATCTTGAACGCAGAGAACAGGAGTGGCACAATGCGGGCAGGGTTAATAAAATCTACCGGATCGATGGCTGGTATAATGGGCCTGCTAATGGTGCTTAATAGAAGTTGGTTCATCCTGGCTGTGGCAGAGTGAAGTTGGCACAGTGGCTGGTAGACAAGTGGCTCCATCCCTCGCCTTCCGGGGTGGCCTCTGGACGGAGATGGCATCAGTGTGAGGCACTGACAGACAAAGCCAGGGCTGGGAGGGCTGCAGGGAGGGTGTGGCTCGTTCTCCAGTGGCTCCTGCAGACCACAGGCTAGGGGATATCCAAGCACATGGAGCCGTGGCTATCCCAGACCCCGGCCCTCACCCCACTGTGGTGGCCCAGTGAAATGAGCTGTCACAAGCATCGCCAGTGCTTTCTGGAGGGGCTCCTGGCCAAGAACTGCACCAGCACTGACTGCGGTCTTCATGGCCATGCCTTAGGAGGCCTGGCCCACCTACTGCCCCAGCTGGTAACCCAGGAAGCAAGTTTAGGGAGATGGCGCAACTAGCCCACTGTTCCATTCGGAAGTAGGGACCCTAAAACACCATGTTCCTTTATCAGAGGGAGAGACATTGGAGCAGCAGGTGACAATCAGAAGATAGAATGAGCAGGAGAGGAGACTGGGCCTGAAGTTCTTCCCAGTGTGTGTTGAATCGGTCACATATTCAAGATCAACTTCAGGCAAAAATGGGCAAAGGCTGTGATCGGTGTGCCGTGTCCTCCTCCCAGCCTTGTTACTGAAATGTGAGGGTCAAGACCATGGAGATGCCCGACTGCTCTGAGCTGTCCGGCGGCAGCCTTGGCTGGGGCCAGCAGGAGGCCTCTCCACGCAGGGATGCCCTATCCTCAAGGCTTTCCTTGCCACACAGCCCTGCACCATCAAACCTTGTCACACACCAGTTATGGAGGCTCGTCTTGTCCTCCTGACCTGGCCATTGATAGCTCAGCTTCCTGCACCTGCTCTCTGAGCCTAAGACTTCTGGGGCTGAGAACCGAAGGCTGCTGAGAGCTGGTGCCTGGAGTTCTAGCCACATAGCTGGGCATAGAATATGAGCAGAGGCCCCCTGGGCATTCCTACACCCGAGGATGTGTGTCACTGCACACATCAATGGTGCAGACACCATTCAGGGTGCAATGATAGTACGATGGAGCTTGCAGGGAGAGCCTCTGGGTGTGAGAGGCTACCCAGAGCTGCAGTGAGTGTGGAGCAGGAATAGGGGAGGAAGGATAACTAGGAGTATAAAAAAATAGAAAGCACCAGCGCTGGTGGACAGTGCCAGGAAGCAGAGCGTAGCAGAAGGGCCTCAGAAACGTTTCCAGTCCGTGAAAGCCGGTGCAAGGGGACGTCAGTGACGTCCCCCAGAAGACAGGGATGGGCCCCAGCAGTTCTCACATCTGCAAACACCACTATTCCTAAAGACTTCACTTCCTGACTGCGTCATTTTTTAAAAATCTGGTTTTCAGGGCTTGGAAGATGTGAGGAAACAGATGGTTATGAGGCGGGGGTG